GTGTAGGTACAATGACTGCTCCCATATGGCAGAAGAGGAAACGTCGTTCCTCAAGTCGTTCGCCCAAGTACACAGATAGTAGACCTAATTGAAATGCTGACCACTGCCCAACTCCAGAGTTTTTCCTATAAACCACTAGGCCAGGGGTTGGCCAACTTTTTCTGTATGAGACCAGATAGTAAGTATTTTAGGCTTTGTGTGCCCTAAAAATCTCTTGTTGCTTCAACTCTGCCTTTGTAGTGTGTAAACAGCCAGAGACAATACCTCAAACAAATGATGTGGCTGTGTCCCAATAAAACTTTATTTGTAAAAATAGGTGGCGTGTGGGATTTGGCCCATAGGCTGTAATTTTCAGATCCTGTACTAGACCATCCTGCCTTGTGAGGGCACATCTATTAATGACAGAGAGAAACAGATACTCAATAGTACGGTGATCCAGTTTTATAAGGGATCGGGGGCCAGAAATTGCACGAAAATGATGGATTGTTTGTATTCCTTTTGGGTGAAGCGTCCTCCTGCTTTAGCTACAGAGGGTGATGGTCGTCATGGCTGGGTACAGTGGGATGTTAAGAGGCTCAGGGCCAGGAAAGACTTTATATTCTCTGTCAACTTTCTGGGAGAACGTGCACAAGGCTCTGGGCATCTGTCACTCATAACTCCACGGTGTTGATAATGGTCCTCATCACCTGCCTGTCTCTCTCGCCGGTGTCTTGGATTAAAAAAGAGGTCTTGTCTGTGATGCCCTTGGAGCATCACTGGGAGTCTGGAAGAGGGTAAATGGATTAAATGGCATTCATCATCTAGTTTGCTTGCAAATTAGAGAGTACTTTGGGGGTATAAGACCCTTTTTTGAATGTTTGCCACATAGAGCCCAATTTTAAAGGAAAGGCGTTCTTGGTGACCTGTGTGAGAGAATGTGGATTTAGGTGGCATGAATTTATGGATTACCTGTGCGGTGGTAGGCTTTAGGCAATGGAGTTACTAAAGAGGATGAAACAGGTATTTATTTCAGTTTTTAATAAGTGTGCAGTGAGAGGGCTCCATAGCCCACCTCATTATATATCATTTCCACAAGAAAATTTAGGCTTCTCTGCTAAGCTGTGAGTCTTAGCAGTAGGGAGGATTTTTGTAAATGTTTCCAAGTGAAATTTTGAAGTTAAAAGTTGAGTGGAGAAACCTCACAGGGCGCAAAGGCTGCTGCTTGCATTTCAATGAAAGGGAGAGGAAATTCATCATAGGGGTTGAGGATGTGGTTTGCATGCTAAGACCTTTGTGAAGAATGGGCCCCCCCCCCCCAGGAGGTGGGAGGGAGGCTGCAGCTTGCCCTTGTGACTAAGTTTCCTTGATTAAGCACAGATACTTCTTCTGATGCCCTCTACCCCCCCACTTTTTTTTTTTTTTAACTTTGCAAGAAAATATATTGAACTGAAAATGTCAGCCTAGAGGATGTCTCAGAATCTTGGTGGGTTTTGTTGTTTGTTTTGTTCTGTTGCCAAAAATAATTACTTAAAAACTCAAGAAGTGTAACTACTTAATCTTAATTTGGGAATTGAAATTTAAGATATGATCACATCAGTTATAATGATAGAAGAGCTGGTTTGTGGCAGAGACCTTCTGGGTGCTGGGCTAGGGCGTTATCTACACTGGGTCAGTACACTTAAATCATACTTAAAACAACGGCATTAGTCCTGCAGAGGAATATTCTTCTTGTTCTGCAGATGAGCACATTGAGGCATCGGGAAGTTCACTAACTCCGTCAGGGTTAAACCGCTAGAGAGCAGCAGAGCCAGAATTTAAATCTGCCTTCTTGATTCCAAAACCCATGCAAGGAGGCTGAGCAAGGGTCCTGGGTTTCTGGGACACAGGATTCTCAGTGCTCAGGCTAGAAACATCCTGGGCAAATGGGAGGATTTGGTCACCCTGCAAGGAAGGTGCTTTTTAACTCCCAGCACCAACGTGGTGTTCATTATCAGGATCAGTCAGGATCAGAGGGGTTTTCCTGTGTGATCGCCATATGTATGCACTGTAAGGTCTCCGAGACCACAGATCCCGGGGTGGTCTTGGAGCCGAACAGGAAAGCTAGGAGACCAAGTTCTTTGGGATTCCCAGCTGAACATGGCCCCATTTATTGGCCCAGTTTGCATTGATGGGGCAAGAGGCATGATTCTTGGATTGGTAGCATTTGTACTGTTTCACTTTTGCTGCAAAGTATTGCTACACTGTTGTGCTCACAGGTAGGCATAGCCTTGGGAAAGGCTGGGTCAGCTTTCGAGGATTTCATCCATCCCACCTGACCCCCTTCCAAACTTTCTCAGACCAGTCCTCGTGCCTCTGGGGACCTTAGGTGATCACCAGAAATGGGGACCAGCCAGCAGAAAGCTTCTTCCTTCAAAGCCTGGGCTCCCACATGGATGTGGCTCTTTTCAAGCAAATTCTTTTGGCCTGTGTCCAAATTCCAGAGGACACTGTGTACAACTTCTGGAGGAAACTGTGTGCTTAAATATTTTTAAAGAAAGGGAGTTGGCACACAGGACCACAGACTGCAGACTCTGTCGTTGCTTGAGGGAAAGCAGAAGTGATCATGAGAACATATCGTATGTCTCCATATGGTCAAGAGATTGATTGCTCTTTATTCAAAAAGTGAATCCATAGGAACATTCTGGGTTTTTGTTTTAATCCTCCCTTTTAAAAAGTGTACTGACCCAGTTAATACCGTATTCTGTGGCACCTAGAAGCCCCCTGCAGTGACTGATCTGGAGAGGGCTGATCAAGAGAAGGCAGGCAGGTCATCGGATGGCCTTGCTGCCTGTGGGAGACTTCGTTCCCTGGGGGGAGCACAGCCCGGGCAGAGGGGCGAGAGGCCGACCCGCACCTTGTGCTGGTGATTGCCGCTACGTGGCAGTTGCTTGGGTGCTTGTTTGAGATTAGTTTCTAAGGCTTATTAATTAGATTCACACAGGGGACCTTGTAATCACTTAATTACTGAGGTGCGCATTGCTTAACCGTGTCAAAAGATGCCTTGTCGTTTTTATTTCGCGTTTTGTTCAAGGGTCTCTGTGACTGTGTTACAAATGAAATATTCTTCCGGAATGCGGTATTTCCTCTGTGATTGGTGTCTACTCTTTGGCAATGGGCATAAATAAGACACAAGCTCTCAAGTGCTTAGGTTAGGGGAGGCTCTGGGAAATGAGGGCAGAGTGCAGGGGAGTGTAGCAGAGGAGGGGCGGGAGAATGAGAGGCTGGGGAGCGTGGGGGGGGCAGTAGCCCGTGCGGCAGGGCATGGAAAAGGGGGAGAGACACACACAGGCTGAGAGACACGCAGATAGAATCAGGTAGGCAGAAGACAGACAGACAGACAGGCCGACCAGTAGGGGCGGGTTCTTTTCCTTATGATCCTCAAACATCCCTCATCCTCCCGATGATGCTTTTACCTGTTTTCTTCCTTTTGGCTTTAAAGTCCTGTGAGTCAGCTGTGTTTGTGTGTGTGTAGACTCTTAAGGAAGTGGGTTCTGGAAAATTTGAGAGTCCGTATAAGGAATTAGAAGCCCAGTCTCTGACCCAGACCACACTGGGTTCAAATCCCAGCTCCGCCACCTGCTTGCTGGGTCCCCTGGGAAGTTACATAATCTCGCTGTGCCTTCATTTCTTCTTGTTAAAATGGGGATAATAACTGTGTCCAGCTCTTAGAGGATTAGGGATGTGTACCCAGCGGTATTGGCCGTCGTCGCTACTGTGCTTGTAACACGATCTGGATGTCGTGGGACCAGTTTCCATTTGCAGGAATGTTCACAGAGCGTAATATATTTTTCCAGATACTGGAAAGGCTGCATGTTCCTGTCTGGGGCTTTTGGCATTGAACGTAATGCGCACTCGAGGAGAAGGTGTAGAGATCTAATACGCTGGGGGCCAGGGGTCACAGGGTCCAGTCCCAGAGCCGGCACAAGCCGGCAAACGTGATGAGTTTCTCTGGACCTGCTCTCAGGTTAGACACTGAGACGGTGAACAAGGGGGTTTTAGGTCCCAGCTGATAGAGTCCTCTTTTGGCTTGTGAGTCTTAGGACCTGGTTATGATTTTACCTCTATGTGGAGGTTCCGTGGGCGTAAGATTCGCGACAAGACTGGGGGTTGCTTGTATTAGTGCCCCTGGAAGAGAGAAATGTGTGCGCTGCATCATAAATAATAAATTTAGTGACGAGGAGGTTCTTTGGGAAATGAAAAAAGCCAGTTCTCCCATCAAAACCTAAGTGTCAGGTACTCCTTCTCTTCACTGCAAAGGCCCTGGGGCCTGCCTGGGCCTCCAAGTGCCTTTAGATCTTTGCAGTTGTGGACGTGGGATTCCTGCTCCAAGCCTGGCTTCAAACCATTTCTAGCCTCTGCTGGGCATGTGGAGTCCTCTGGGCTCCGCAGATGTTCTTAGCTGTTTTGGAATTGGAACGTCCATAAATGTTGTCTCGAGGACTGGGAGAAGCCCGCTGAGAGACATAGTCAGGGACAGCTTAGAAGCCTCATCCGTTACGCTGTCTGGGCCTTGTGTAAATGTTCCCTGCTGGTGTACAGAGAAAGGGAAGCCGGAGGGCCAGTGTAGCTGGTGGTTGTAATTGGAAAGTGTGCATGAACACTTGGCTTCTTCCTTCAGTTTGCTGTTGATATACAGAGGCTCATGACTGTCTTTCTATAAGACCTCTGTATTTTAATATCACAGAGAACTGTCTTGTTGACTCAGCTGAAGTAATCTCCTGGTCTTTTGGGCTGTTGACCAATTGCTCGTCTTGAGATTTCACAAGTGATTTGTTCAGGGGAGACCTTCGTACAGCGACTCTTGAGTAAAACTAGTTCTTCATGGCCAACAAGCTGTCCCGGTTCACTTAGTCTTCTCACATGCCAGGAGCCAAGCCCTGTGGTCTCTCAGTGCCTTAGTGTCCCTCAGTCCTGTGGGTAACACCAGAGCCTCCCAGTCCTACTGGTGGTACTTACACTGATGCTGCTTTTCTCTCCTGCAGGTGCTCACATCATGCCGCGCCTTCCTTGTAACAGCACGGATCCCTACCAAGGTAAGTGTCACTGCATTTCCACCACGTGCGCGCGCGCACACACACACACACACACACACACACACACACGCTCACTCTTCAGTGATGGGGGCTTCACGATTTAGGCTGTGGCTAGAGTGCTCTTAGCACACATATTTTCCTTCCTTCTCCCCAGAAAGCACCTCAGAGTTGTGATGACGAACAGTTTTTACTCCATCATTTCTCCTCTTCTTGTGTCAAAGCATCCTGTGATAAGTGGGGAAGCATTTTGTGCTCCCTGAGGCTCGTGGATTCCAGTCATTTTTCTCTCTCACCCGGGCATCAAGTCTAGCTCTTATTTCCCTTGGTCCAGGATTGGCAGATTTTTCTAAGGCTTTGACATGTGGGCAATAACCTTCATCGCTGTGAAGGGTACGTTCTTGGTGGGAGAGTGTCTCAGGCCTTCTGTGTGTACTCTGGGGTTGCCCATGAAAAAGACCACGACATCACTTTGTTCTTGAAAGGATCTGTTTAATTTTGCCAAGATACCAACCCACTGTTTGCTAGTCCAGGGCTCAGGGTGTCTCCTGCCTTTTTTCTTTCTGATTATACAAATGCTAAATTTTATGACGTTTCCCCCTGCCCCTTTTGGTAATGTAAAGTGAGTCTGTTTCTAATGTATCATAAATGAAATCAATTATTATGTGAACGGTGTTGGGCTATGTTGCCTTTATATTAAAACACCGCAAGGCAGGCTGTAAGGAAGTGAATGAACCATTATCCCACTGGTGAAAAATTAATTGCAGAAGGAAATTTTATGAGCTTGAGAAACAGTCAAGTAGCCTATTGAGTAGAAGGCCCCTGAATAGTATGTTTCCCCTATTTAAAAATGTTCTCACGCGGAAGGGTGCCTTACCTCTTGGGCAGTCACCCACCTCTCTTCTGCTGGCTGATCCCATACTGCCCCCTCCCTTGCTCTGCCCTGAGTGAAGGTCTGGCTTCGTCCTATGATGTGTATCGTATTCCACGTTGGCCTGGCTAGGGTGGTTTGGACATTGGTTCTGATTTCTGTTATTGTCAGCATCACAAATAGAGAAAAACAGTTTTTCTTCTAAAGTGATCTGTGTTCATGTTTCCCCCTGGTTTTCATGTGCCACAGTACACCTTGGCTGAGATGCAAAACCCATGTCGATGACATTAATTTTCTGGGGGAAATAATTATATTCAAAACAGTACCGTACAATAGGTACTGATTATGGCATAGATGTCTTCTCTTGGGGCGCTGATTGAACATTTTCTCTTTTGCCTTTCTGTTGTTAAATGTATCACATATGCAGTCAAATGTACAAAATAGGAAGGTACATCTCTGTGATGAATCACAAAGCCAATACCTCTGCAGTCACACCCACATGAAGAAATAGAACTTTGCTATCACCCCAAAGGCCCCAGCTCTGTTTTGTGGGCAGGAATGGGTAATTATCAGATCAGGGACGGACCCACAGAGAAGCTGGGTTGAAGGATCGTCCCCCCATCAGCCAGGCAGATGCGAGGATCTTCCACTGGTACACGGTTCAGTGGTGGAAAGAGCACAGTGCTTTGGGGAGCAGGGGTGTGGGGGGGCTGTGGGGGGAGGGAAACATGTCGTAAGGTGGGTGGTGGAGGCTCAGGCTTCTGCCTGTGGTGTGGGGGGACATTTCTGCAGGACAGTCACGTATCCATTTGCTTATTGCCTGTGGGCAGCGGACTTGCTGGGGCGCAGGTAGAGGTGGGGTGAGTGGGAGAGCGGTGGGGGGCTAGCGATAGTCTGGGTTAATTCCTTCCTTGCATCTGACCAATCACGATTATCTGTGGTGCTGCCTTAAAAGCATCCTCAGGTGTTCCTGCCTCGTCTTGCCCAGAGCCACTGCGTCTTTCAGTCTGGCTCGGGGACGCCCCTCCTCACTCTTAGGAAAGCTGGGACGCCCAAAGAATCACAGATGCGGGGACTGTCCTTCCTTAGGGATCGCCCATACTACAGGCTCTGTGTCTAGCTTCTGCCTAGCCCTAGTTCTTGTGATGCCTCTGTGCCTTTGCAGATTCTTTCTCTTCTGCCTGGACTTCCCTTTTTTGCCCCTTCTTTGCTTGCCAAACTTGAAAAGTCGTTTCTCAGAGCCTCGCTGAATGTCTCCATGCTTTCCTGCTCCCTGACACATTGCTTCTCCCAGTGACAGCGCCTCGGTGCCGTGGAAGCATCTTAATTGACCTCCAGCTATAACCTCACTCGGCCAAATTGATCACAGCTGCCCATGCCATGCCTGAGGGTGTGGACTTGTGCCACCTGCGTTTTCATGGCTCCTGGGTGGTGAGCACCCCGACCTGTCCACACCTGCTCCCACCAGTTGAATGAGTGCCCACTGAGGGTCGGCGGTTTGTTTCCAAACCTATTCATAGCAGTTGTAATGATAACAGTACATTTATTTAATTCAAGGTATTCACATAGCAGTGAAATAGGCTGCGAAAGGAGGGAGTGTCTATGAAATACTGATTATTGATAAGGTGCATTATGTAAAAAGAAATTACTGTCTTGTTAAGGACCAGACAGTTGTTAAAGGCTGGGTGGTGGGGAGCCTAATAATTCAGCAAAACTATGCCCTCAAGTTGCTTTGCGAGTGTCTTCAAATTCTCCATTTTATTTATTATTTATTTTTAAAGATTATGTATTTGAGAGAGAGTGGGGTGCGCATGGAAGGGCAGAGGGAGAGGGAGAGAGAGAGAGTCACAAGCAGACTCCCCTCTGAGAATGGAGCCCAACGCGGGGCTCATTCCCATGACCCTGAGATCGTGACCCGAGCTGAAATCAAGAGTCAGACGCTCAACTGACTAAGCCACCCAGGCGCCCCCTCCCTCCATTTTAGAGAGACTTGAATTAGACGTTGGGTGCCTTGGATTTATGGTTGTGGCTCCCAGAGGAAATGCCATTGCAGGGCCAGCCAGTAGGTTCTTCTCAAAGAAGAAATGTGGTCACTCTGTCAAAGGCTAGCAGATGAAATGATGTTTAGAAGTTTTAATTTGAACCGACTAAAGGTAGATATGTATACTTTTAAAAAATAATTTCCTGCTTGAGGTGACTTTTCAAAACCCAGCTAAGCATTGGTCTTGATAGTAACAGTAGGTGAGAGGACTTCTACTCAAATGGAATGTTTAAAATGGGCCTCCAGTGCTGTGTTTGACTCTTGGAGGACAAGAGAGATGTGTCCTTGCTCTTTTCAGTCCCAATTCTGGTACATAGTAGGCCTTCCATAGACGTCAGTTCCAATTCTGGTGCATAGTAGGCCTTCCATATACGTCAGTTCCAGTTCTGGTGCATAGTAGGCCTTCCATAGACGTCTGTGGGTTGACTAAGTGAATAATGAAAGAATAACTTTTCTACCTCTGGCCCTCAGTGCTATACATCAAGATACTTAACTGGACATTCAGGGGTTCTCTGTTCTAAGGTTCATCCTACCAAATGTGTAGGGTACAACATAGCCCCCAGGGGCACAACTCAGGGTCTTGTGCATTTGGTTCTGGGTGGGTGCTTTTCCCCTTACCTTTCTAGTTTGAAGGTGAAGAGGTCAAATAAACTAATCTAACTCGGTCTCCTCTGACACACAGTGCTCTGGGATCGTTTGCTGTAGTCGGATGAAAGACTGCAAAATTGGGGGAAAGATTAGTGGCTATTGTCCAGGAAAAATAGGAAGAGTGTGGGACTGGAGGTATTTTGAAGAAGAAAAAAATGCTGATTATGGGAGAAGAGAGAAAAGATCACTTATTAAAATGGGAAGGAAATAAATCAATTATCTGCACACACAGAGAAGATTTTTACTTAACTATGTGTGTTTCATTTAACCAGTTTAAAATTCCTACGTGTTGTGTTTTTCTAAATCCATTCAAAATATGCATTTTTATGAAAGATGGGGAAGGAATGATGATGATTCCAGGAAGTGGCCAGAGTGTAACCCAAAGAGGTAAGGGTTTAGAGAGAAGGGAAAACCAACATTGTCATCTTGATGGGACTTTCTGGAGCAAAATTTTGAAATAGGAGAAAAAAGTATATTTATATGGCTCACCTTATACATTCATTTCTCAGTGAATAAATGGAGTATTTATTCATTCAAACTTTCCATTGAGTTTGTCCTTGGATGAAATTTAAAAAGTCAGACTTGTAGCTTCCTTTCAACCCTTTAGTAAAGTGAAGAATACTTTTCTGAAAGACGATAAATCAAGGTTAATACTTAAGTGCACCAGTGGAGACTAGTTAAGCTAGCCTGCCTTCCGAAGATGCCCAGTACCTTGTTTTGCTCTCAGACTGTTTCTAATTGTAGCATTTTCACCTTAAATTATAGGTTTTGTCACCCTCATTCATTTCAGGTCTTTATTTCAATTGCAGCTCGAGTTAACCTTCAGCTACCTGGAGATTCACGGTGTCATCTGCAACAAGTCAGCTCAGGTGCGTGCCAGCAACAGCCTCCTGTGTGTCATTAACTGCGGGGTCCTCACCTTTTCCTGAGTTTCTGAAACTGGGAAACTCCTATTTTGGTTTCACTATTGATATTCTCTTGAGATAATGTAGAAAAACAAGATGAGGGAAAATGGAAGTTTCTGAATGACAGACTGAACAGGGGGCTAGGTGGGTAGGGGCTGGGAATGTGTTCTCATAAGGAAAACACATTCTCTGGAACTCAGTCTGAGAAGAACTAATGAGCTCTTATGTGAGCTGGTGATGTAAACGTGAGATTTTGTACAACAAGGTTTAGGGTTAAAATCTCATAGCTACTATACAGTACCATCTAAGTTCTTTTTGGGAATATAGTGATACATGAATATTTTGGTGTTAATAAAATAGAGATTTTTATTTTTTATTTTAAAAAATTTTTAAGATTTATTATTTTAGAGAGAGAGAGGAGAGAGAGAGAGCGTGGTGGGAAGACATAGAGGGAGAGGGAGAGGGAGAGAGAATCTCAAGCAGATTCCCCACTGAGTGCAGAACCTGATGTGGGGCTTGAGGTGGCTCTCCATGCGGGGCTCGATCTCACAACCCTGAGATCATGACCTGAGCCGAAATCAAGAGTTGGATGCCTAACTGACTGAGCCACCCAGGTGTCCCTAAGATGTAGATTTTTAAAAACAGCTTTATTGAGCTATAATAAGTACTATGCAGCAAACTGAAGTGTACAGTGTGATTAAGTTTTGACATATGTGTACCCATGAAACCCATTACCACAGTCGAGATACCAGATTATTCCTCATCCCATGGTCTCCTCATATCCCCCAGTAGACACTCCCTCTTGCTTCTCCTCCTCTGCAGGCATCTGCGGTCATCTTCTCCCTGCAGTTAGAGATTAGTTTGCATTTTCTAAAACTGTGTGTGAATGGAATCATATGGTGTGTGTACTCTTTCTTGCCTGCCTTCTTTCCATCAGTATAATTGTTTTGGGATCGATTTATTTTGTTGCGTGTATCAGTGTTTCCTTTTCATTGTTGAGTAGTGTTGCATTGTGTTCTGTTGTCTCCCGTTGTGTCCCCTTGTGTTCCACTGTGTTTTGTTGTGTTTCTGTTGTGTCCTGTTGTGTTCCTTTGTGTTCTGCTGTGTCCCCTGTGTTCTGTTGTGTTACGTTGTGTTGCATTGTGTCCTGCTGTGTCCCGTTGTGGCCTCCTGTGTTTTGTTGTGTTCCAGTGTGTGGCTGTATCACAGCTGCTTTATCCATTCACCTGGTGAGGGAAAGTTAGTTGTTCATGTTGTTGACAAGACAAGCAAAGCTATTGTGAACATTTATGTGTACAAATCTTTGCTTAGATAGAGGCTTTCATTTCCCATGGGTAGATATCTCGGGATGGAATGGCTGAATTGTATGGTAGGAACGCTTTTTAAGAAGTTGCTAAACTGTTTTCCAAAGTGGTTGTACCATCTGACATTGCCATGAACAAGCAGTGCGTGAGGGTCCCAGTTCCTCCATATCCTTCCTCTACATCCTTCCTCCACTGACATGGTCAGTGTGTTTAATTTTAGCCATTCTGGAAAGTATGTGATGCTTTCTCATTGTAGTTTTAATTTGCATTTTTCCAATGACTAAAGATATTGAGTATCTTTTTTATCTGCTTGTCTGCCATCATCTCTCTCCCTTGTTCAAGTGTTGGTTAAAATGTTTTGCCATTTTTTTAATTGAGTTGTTTTGTTATTGTTTTAAGAGTTTCTTTGTATATTCTGAATACAAATCCCTTTGATACACGATTTACACATATGTTTTTCTCAGTCTGTGGCCTGTCATTTCATTTTCTTTGCAGTGCTTTTGAAAGGGCACAAGTTTTAAATGTTAATGATGTTCAATTTGTCAGGTTTTTTTTTTTTGTGGATCATGCTGGTGTAATATTGAATAAATCTTTGCTCAACCTGAGGTCGCAGAATATTCTATAGCTTTTGGAAGTGTTACAACTTTACGTTATACGTTTAGCTCTATGATCCACTTTGAAGTAGTTTCTGTATATAAAGCAATATATGGATCAGTTGGGGTTTTTTTGTTGTTTTTTTTTGGGTGTGGTTGTTTGTGTTTTTTGGGGGGTGTAGTTTTCTTTTTTTGTCTTTTTTTGCCTATGTATAGCATATCCACCTGTTTGAAAGACTGAACTGGCTTTCGCTTTTGTTGGAGATCAGTTGTTCACATAAGTGTTGGTCCATTTCTGGACTGAAGTCCAGAAATGTGGTGTGTTTGTCTTTATGCCACTACCATACTGTCTTGATTACTATAGCTTTATATAAGACTCGAAATCAGATAGTATTAGTCTTCCAAATTTGTTCTTCTTTATCAAAGTTGTTCAGTAATCCTGGGTCCTTTACAATTGCATATGAATTTTAGACTCAGCTCAGTTTCTACAGAAAAGGCTGCTGATATTTTGATTGGTATTATATTCAATCTATAAATCGATTTGGGGAGAATTGACATCTTAACAGTTTGGAGTCCCTGACCCAAGAAAACTGTGTATTTCTACACGTATTTAGGTCTTCTTTAATTTCTCTCAGCAGTGTTTTGTTGTAGCTTTCAGCATACAGATCTTACACATCTTTTGTTGGATTTATTCCCAAGTATTCTGTATTTTTTGATGCTATTATAAGTGGTATTGTTTTAAATTCCAGTTCTTAATTATTTCTTGCTGGCATATAGACACAATGGACTTTTGCATATTAAACTTGCATCCTGACAACTCACCTATTAGTTCTAGTAGCTTTTAAAAACGGATTTCATCATTTTCTACATAGACGATTGTGTTGTTTGTGAATAAAGACAATTTCACTTCTTCCTTTCCCAGCATTAATATCTTTTATTTCTTTTTCTTGCCTTTTTACTGTTGGGTCTCCCACATTCCTGCATGCTTGCTGGGTATGCTGAGAGTTCATTGCTGTGACTGCTCTTTCCACAGGCTGCTTCCCAGGGTTTTATTTGCCGTAAGCATCCGTGTGAGATGGTGGCATGTTCCCTTATGAACAGAGAGTGGGCTTGCTTATCATTTACTCTGAAAATAGATTACCCACGTTCAACGGTTCCTTTCCTGTAAGCAACCCCCTGTGTGTGCAGACATCTCTGAGCTCTCTGTGTCACCCTGTGGGGCTTTGGGCTTTGGGGTAAGGGGGAATCACATGATGCCCTTTGCTGTACCATGAATAATCAAGTCCTTTCTGTCTGACCCAGGACTCTCCTGTGTCCTGCCAGCATTCATGAAACAGCAACAGGCTAACTTACTCACTTCTAGGTGGGGTAAAATCAGATCTCAGCACCTGACAACTGTCCCCGCTAACACTTCCAGATCAGTGCTGAATAGACATCCTTGTTCCCTCCCCGGTCTTGGAAGGAAAGTACCGTTCTTTTTCCACAAGTGTGATGTTAGCTGTAGGTTTTTCACTGATGCCCTTTATCTGGTTGACGAATTTCTCTTCTGTTCCAAGTTGGCTGGGAGGCTTTCTCAGGGATTAGTGTTGTGTTTTGTCAAATGTTTTTTCTCTATTACTGTGTGGGTTTTTTTTTTTGTTTTGTTTTGTTTTGTTTTAGTTTGTTAACAAGGTGAATTATATTGATTGACTTTCAGGTATTAATTCAACCTTTCATTCCTGGGATTGACCCTCCTTGGTCATGATGTATTATCCATTTTTGTATATTGTTGGATTCTAGTTGTTAAAAGTTTGTGAAGAGTCTTTGCATCTATGTTAATGACAGTTACGGACTATACTTTTCTCTTTTTAAAAAAGTTTTTGTTGCTTTCTGTGTTGGAGTGATCATGGACTCATAGAATTAGTCCTTGCTCTTTGGTTTTGTAGAAAAATTTAGAATAACCAACTCTTTAAATGTTCATTTGAATTGACCCATGATGTCATCAGGGCCTGGAGTTTCTTCTTCAGGAAGGTTTTAACCTACAAATTCTTATTTCTTTCATAGATATGGATGCGTTTATATATTTCTCCTTGAGTGAGCTGTGGTAGTGTGTGTCTTTTAAGAAATCTACCTGTTTCGTCTCAGTTGTCACATTTACTGATATAAAGTTGTTCATAGTATCCCCTTGTTATGCTTTAAATATCTGTAGGATATCATTCCTGTTATTGATCATTTAGTCCTTCTCTCCCTGCCTCTCCCTGCCCTCCAGTCTGACTAGAGGTTTATCACTTATGTTGATCTTCTCTAAAAATTTGCTTTTAGTTTTGTTGATTTTCTCTCTTGATTTGATTGGTTTTGTTTCCTATTTCCTTGATTCTTACTATGATCTTTATTGTTTCCTTCATTCTTTTAGTTTTTAAAACTACCAAGAATACGTGTGTTTGTGTATGCACACGCATGTGTGTGTAGTTTGTTGACAACATTCCTGAAAGTTGTCAGAATTGTCACTTATGTTGATCAAGATTACATACAAATCCTTGGAATTTTTCCATAGTTCATCTGAGAGCAATGTTTTATCCTGTGTGTTTAGCATTCTTTAGAAACTGGAGTTTGGAAGGAAAATTACAGCACCATATGTTTGCCCAAATGGCAGACATATGCAGGAGTGAATGATTACTCACGATTGACGACATAAGCAGGGCCTTCTTGACGGTCTGAATTCGGGGATGTTTATGTTTATGAGGTCGGGGTTGTGATCGAGCAGAAGGGCTCTACTGAAATGTTAATGCCAGCATTATATTCGAAGTATGATTTGATGTGGGATTTAAGTATGAGAAAGGCTGTTGATACAGCAAGACTAATTTCCCCATATAGCTGCTGGGACTCGTCCCGTCTAGGGACCCTGTAGTCCCGTCCCTTCTGTCTGCCTGGCATTCAGAGGAACTCAAGTGGTATCCGGCTGTCTGCCTCTGCCCGTGGGGCTATTGTCCCAGTGAGAACCGGAAGACCGGCTCAACAGCATTGCTTCAGCTTAGTGTGGACCTTGGAGATGGAGGTACAGCAAGATGATGGTGCGATTTCCACAGAGGGGCCCGTGATGCTGGGCGCTTTGCAGGACTCAAATTCTGACATTTCAGAAATTTCTGTGGTGCTGTTTAAAAACACTGATACCTTCTGCAGTTCCCCTCCCCCGTCACACCCCCCCACGCACGCACGCACACATGGCAGTTAGGACTCAGTGTGTCTGGGGTGGGCATTTGATTCTCTCGTATTCTAGAGGCTAAGAAAAAGTAACCTGGGTAACCTCAGGAACTTTGACATCTGGTTTCTCCAGTGTTCTCTGATGTGAAATCATAAGGATGATAGTGTCTGCCCGTGGCACTCATAATCCACCCTTGATTAAGACATACTTTTCCTTTTTTTCTTTCTTCTTTTTTTTTCCCCCGTTCTTTTCTAATGTTCTCTGGGGTTGAGTCACTTTTTTTTTTTTTTTAAAGATTTTATTTATTTATTTGAGAGAGAATGAGAGCGAGAGAGAGCATGAGAAGGGGGAGGGTCAGAGGGAGAAGCAGACTCCCCGCTGAGTAAGGAGCCCGATGCGGGACTCGATCCCGGGACTCCAGGATCATGACCTGAGCTGAAGGCAGTCGCTTAACCAACTGAGCCACCCAGGCGCCTACACTGATTCACTTTTTATCCCTATTTAATTAGAGCTTTGTCAGTTCAGATCACCTGTCTGGGACATTCACATTTCCTCGTGTGTGAGTGAGAGGGGTGTGTGTGTTACCGAGTTAGTGAAATGTGACCTTTCCTACTGCTCTTTTCCTCTTCCTTGTGGGAATGTGGGAGACCTTTATCTTATTTTCCAAATCTCATTGCCGTAGCACTTTCTGGGGTCCAGGTTCTGTGGAAATTCTGTTGCCTGTTCATGGTCAATATACTGAGACCAACCGTTACATAGTTTTATAGTTACAGAATTTTTGGACTATTTCTTGTACAACTGAAACACCTTTTTTTTTTTTTTAACTATAAGGTTAACTGTTTGCTATATCATGGGATGATTTTGGCAAACCACCCATGGCTGTTTCTGCTAGAAGAACGAAAAACACTTTACCAATCTGTTGACTGGCATTTATTTAAAAGTGCTTAAATGTTTAGCCAGGTTGTCCTACCTTAAAAAATGGAGGCAGGTGGGGTTGGAAACTCGAATCTTAAGTAAGATACTGCTGATTATTACATTATTTTGATTATTTTATATTTTACTTAATTATTATTTTATTTAAATAAGATACTGCTGATTCTTATTTTAAATGTGTACTGGAGGTTGTGATTATGTCCTGCTAGGTGGCTAAGCCAGAATTGTTCCAAGCTTTCAATTTTTCCCCAGCTGAACTAGGAGGGACAGAGGTATTTGAAAGGGAGTTCTTTGTCCTGGTGAAATGGTTTGCTGTGTTAGTGTCCCCTCTGTCTCTCTGTTGGCAATCTTTCCATCAGCCCAAGGTGGTGACATATTTTGCAGGGCTGTGCGCTGCCTTCATGTCAGCTTGAATCTGAAGGCCTCGTTTTTTCCCCTCGCCTGTCACCTTTTTTTCTTCCCTGTCATTCTATCAATCGTGTGCAATTAAGGATGATTAGGTGTTAAGACGAAGCAGAATTAGAATAAGCTAATTACTAATTACTCACACCCAAACTGTGAACTGAATAGATAGATGCACTAGATGTGAAGAAAGTATAAATGCCCTGTAGTGAAAAATATAATTACCCACGGTGGGAATGTTGGGGGCAGGGTGTGGAGCACAGACACAATGGCTGCATCCCAAAGTATCTGGCTCTTTAAAACACACATGTGCACAGATGTGTGCACATGGGACATCGGAGCTTAGCTGCACAGAGCAGCTTTAATTTGCTGAAGATACTTCGTTGAGGTGTCTTGGGGTTGAACAGTAAATAGCCTCCAGATACAGCAATGCTTGCTGCCTTTTTGGGGAGAAATATTCCTTGGGCCACCTTCTGGAAGACCAGTGCGTGAAAATTAGGATTAAATTTTTTTTTTTTTTTTTTTTTTTTTTTTAATATGGAGAGCCAACTAACGGACACAGAGGTGATATGTATTGAGAGAGTCCTTTGGGGTGCTTGTGGAAAAGTAATATTTTAAGGTCTCAGGTCATATAAGTCTTTTTTTTATCTCATCATTTTGGCAAATAAATTGCATTACTTATCCTTTTTTTAAAATAAAGATTTTATTTATTTGAGAGAGAAAGAGAGCACAAGCAGGGGGAGCAGCAGGCAGAGGGAGAAGCAGGCTCCCCACTGAGCAAGGAGCCCGATGCGGATGCGGGGCTTGATCCCAGGACCCCGGGATCATGACCTGAGCCGAAGGCAGACGCTTAACTGACTGAGCCATCCAGGCACATGCATTGCTTTTCCTTTTAATGTTAACACTTTGAAAGACGTGATTATTTTTAATTTAGCTAATTTTGGGACAGCGTAAAACAAATCTAAAAACTGCTTTGTTAAACTAATTGGCTAGTTGCACATTAAGTGTAGTATTCCCGCATCATATTTTTGTACAAGTTATGTACCAGCAGGAAGTAAATATGTGAGGCTATCTTGATGCAGTGAAAATCCAAAGGGATTGCATTTAACATGAATATTTTTGAGATCCAAGTAATGGTATTTTTTTTTTTTTTAAAGTGAGGTTGATTCTTTTTGTTTGAAATGTGTCCATAAACAACCTGCTGCCCTTTGCAACCTGCTCCTTTTCTCAGGTTGACTTATAATTATTTACAGTACGAGCTCTATGACCTCAGTGTCAACATTTTTGGTGGTAAGCTTTGGACATTTCCCAGCAGTTAATTGGAATGATCCTTTGCCTAGTCCTGAACATTATGACCCTGTTCCCATCATATAATCTTTTCCAAGAATTCTCTCTTTTTAGAGAAGTTGAAATGTTTGTAAGCATTTGATTTTTCTTTTGTTGCCGGGCAGAAGGTTTTCACATTTCCTTGAAACATCTCATAAGGGGTCTTGTTTTTAAAACATGTCAAAAAAAAAAAAAAAGTAATGATGAGATTGCCCTCAGCTACTCACTGAAGGAGGTATGCTTACTTATTCTGGATAGTAGGGCTCTAACAGACTTGGTAAGACCACATCTTGAGACAAAACCTTGGTGAAAGGAGAAGTCATGTGTGAATGTGAATATCCTGTCTCCATCACATGGCTGGGGGGGTGGGGGTCCTGTTTGAATTTTGCCTTTACAAACACTTGTTTCAGTTTCTGGATGTTTCTGACAACTATTCCACCCTCTACCCAAATAGTTCCTCGAGTCTTAACTAAGGGTGTTATTTTAAGGAAGTGCTTCTTAAAAAGCTGGTATTGTATTGGTATAGGGCAGTGTGAGTATATCGTTTACAGGACTTAAAACCCAAAAATCAAGGCACCATACTGATTACTAAGCAGCGTCCAACCCGGTTCTTGCAGATGGTGGTGGAAACTGAGAAGTACAACATCTCCATGAAGATGGCATCGCCCGAGGACGTGAGCGAAGTGCTGGCCCACATCGGCACCTGCCTGCAGAGGATATTTCCTGGCCTCTCCCCAGTGTGAGTGCTCGGGGAGGGGGGGGGAAGGGTGAGCAGAGCAGAGAACGTCCTCCTTAGAGTGGTGGATGAGAATGCGCCTTCCCCTCCTGCGCCCTTCTCTGCTTAAACATTCGACAGCAAACCCTCACTCGGGCCCTTGCGTTTGACGTCTGAGGTTCTCCGCGGGGCTCTGCCTCATTCTGTACTTCCAAGAGCTTGAGCCATGAAGGGTTTGGCTACCCTTTCACCTCTACTCCCAAGAGTGAAGCAGAAACCTTTTTGACATAACTTGCGATGTACCCTCGTGGGACTTCTCCTCATGGCTCTTAGTGGAACCAGGGGCTCAGTGCTTTGCAGGAAGGCATCGAGGACACTATTCCTGAAGAGTGAGAGGCTTCATTTCCCTTTTTTTTTCTCTTAGTTTTCTGACACACACGTTAGGAATATTAGTAAATTGTGTCTGTGCATGCCCTTATAATTCTTTGTTAAGCGCTTTTCATCAGGATTATGCGCTTGGGTAACCGAGTTTGTCCTTAGGGACTGTGTGGATTGTTGGAAGGGGGGGGTTGGATTGGTGGAAGTAAAAAGGCAGGAAGATCCTATGTCAGAAAGCTCCCTAAATTAATAGTCCCTAGTGAAAATACCTTCCTGCTAGAAGGAGACGGTACAGAGACTGTAAAAATCCCTCTCCCATTGCTCACCCTGTGTACAGAGGCCGCGAAGCCTCATGGGGACAAGTAGAAGATGGGGAGCTTTGCATCTTGCTTGACGGGAGCAGGAGGGAAATTTCGGGGACTTGCCCTTTATGGAACATGTTCCTTACAATGCTCTGCCTCTAAATTAAGAGGCAAAGCAGGAAAACCTAGCCTTGTGTCTTTCCAGCCTTTTGGGTGCCTGCCGGTGGTTCGGTGGAGATGGGGCTTCCTTACGGTCTCCGGCTTTCCGAGACCTGCTAGGTTCTTTTAACAGCTCTGCACGGGGCTGTGTTTTCTTCGCCTCCTGCCAGCATGGTGGGCTGGCCTGTGCCTTCTGCCTGTTCACCCAGTGCTTCCTCCTCTGCAGCCTTGGGCTCCTCGTGCTTGTCTGAGTGTCTGGCTAGCTGGTTGCAGAGGGAGCGGAGTGTCCCCGGCCTCATCTCGTGGCACAGAGGGGTCGAGTGGGGCTGTCCCCTAGCTCCTGCCTGCCTGGAATTTCCAGGTATGAAGCCTTAAAGGCAGGCTCCTGCGGCGTGCAACCACACACACTCTAATGTGTGTGCGGGAGAGGTGCAGGTAGGCAGGGGTGTGGGATGAAGTGAGGCGTGATGAGGAGCAGTGAGGGGGAAATACCCAGAAGGAGAACATCCTTAAAGCCACCAGAGAACTATTTGGGGTGATCATGAGTTAGCACTCACTACAGCCCATTCTCCCTAAACGACGTTTAGTAAAGTGACTTTGTACGTACTGATGAGATCAGAAAATTGTTAAGCACAGCCTTATTTAGCAAGGGCTTATACGACCCTCAGAACAATATGTAGAATCTCTGCTTTCTTTAAAATGCAGTTTTATTTGCCTAATATTCTAGGAATTTGGAGGAAATTACCAGTTTTTGGTTTGAATTCTTCCATTTTTTTCCTTTAAGTGATGAGCTCCGTTTCCAGGGAGGCCATCACAACATAGACGTTAGTTTCTAAATCTAAGACCTCCACCTGAGCCTCATCTGCACTTCTGTTTCCTGGCTGCACAACGATGTCCCCAGGCACCTCACATGTGGTGCGTCCCATCAACTTAGCAGGTTTCCCCCCCAAAACCTGCCTGTGTTTGACACTGTGTCTCAGTTAGTGGCTCATCGTGTACACAGTGTCTTGTTCTTCACTTGCACATGTCAGACCCGTTTCATGCCTATCTCCTGGTCTGCTCCTAGTCTGGCCTCTCATTTCCACCGCCTTCATTCAAAGGGTCTCATGTTCCCCGGGCAGCATCGTCCTCACCTCTGTCTGTGTCTCCAGGCCTTTTTGCCGCGGGTCTTCCGTGGGGTCACCAGAATTACCTGGTTGCGTCTATGCCGTGTCGGGTGGTATAGCAAGACCACCGCCGTCTGGCCCCGCGATCCAGCCTCTTCTTGAGCACATCAGCCTCTCCTGCAGGCTGCTAATCCAGACACACTCCCACTCCAAAAGACCTAGCCTGGGTATCTAAAGAGTTTCTTTATTCATGGTTCTGTAGAACTTTGTGATCGCGTCCTATGCTAGCACGTATCTCACTGTGTTATAGTTGTTTCTTGAAACACTTACATGGTCAGTATTTACTGAGTTTCTGCTATAGATGGCAGAGTACTAAGTGTTGGGGTCCACGGCCCACGTGGAATTTACATTGGGAAGTTGCATTACTTACATTGGGAAACAGACCCCCCAGAAATAAATCAGTGAAATAAATGTAAACTTGAGTAAATGCTTGCAGCTGATGTTTAGTGCAGGACTAACATAAAGAATAAAACTCCGTCTGCCAGGGCCTCCCAGTGGCCATGGTACTTTGAACAGACCGTCGAGGGAGAGAAGGAGCCTGAAGAGGGCAGAGAACCTTTCCTTCTCAGGCCTCTGCCCGTGCTGTCTGGCCTGCCTGGACCAGGGTTGGTGTCTTTGAGGAGCGGAGAGAGAACCCAGGCGGCTGGAACATGGGAATGAGGGGAATGCAGGCAGGAGAGGGTAACTGGCGTGAGATGAGGCTGGAGGCACAGGTGCGGGTCAGCGGACGTAGATCCTCATGGGGAAGAGTTGGCCGGTCAGCACTAGCTCTCTGGGAAGCCGCTGTCGGTCGCAGGTGCGGGTGTGACATGATTCCTGATGCGGTGTATGAAGATTATTTTTGCCGTTGGAGAGAGTGCAGTGGGAAGGGTAAGGGCAGGAGGGGAGAGCTGGTTAGAGCGCGGGCAGGCATCTAGGGGAGGGATGGCTGCAGCTGTGATGTTAGAGGTAAGGGTGGGAGGTGGAAGATGGAGGATTTATTGTGGGTACAGGACCGGCTGATGGATTCGGCATATGGGTGACAGCGGTGAGGGGCGGGAGGACCAAGGATGACTCCTAGGTTTTTGGTTTAATAACTCAGTGACTCGTGACACTTTGCAGTGAGGTGGAGGGGGCCGAGGGTAGCCGTGGGGGCAAGTTTTATTTGGGGGGAGAAACACCCCAACCATTCTGTTTTAGGCATGCTAAGCTTGAGATCTAGGACACGTGAGGGAGGGGGTGTCAGATCGGCAGTTATGTACCTGGGGTTGGAGCTTGGGGGAAAGGTCCGTCCAGCTCTGGAGATGTCGCAAATGTGGGAGTCGTTACTGTAGAGAGTCTTGCTTGCACGACTGTTTTGAGGTCATCCAGAGAGAGATGTGCACCTGAAAGAGAAAATGTCTTGGGAATGAGGACAAGTGTAAGAGGAAGAGTCCTGAAGGGAGTCGGGACGGGATTCCAGCGGAAGACCAGGGCCTGGGAGGCTCCTCTGAAGCAGGGAGTGGGTTTCTGCACAGTGATCTGGGTGCTGACCAAGTGAGGGCAGAGGGCTGTCTGGGGGACTGGGCACGGTGAAGGGCAGTCCCAGCGTTGCGGTGGGGAGAGGTGGGCTGCCATGCCAGTGGAATGAACTCTGAAGGGAGGAAGCTGGTGTGGCACCTGCAGGAAACTTCTTAGAGACGTTTAGCTATGAAGGGGAACTGGTAAATGGGAAGTAACTAAAGAGATATGAGGAATTACAGGCGAATTTTGTTTGCACTCAGAGTGGCAGGTATTAAAGCACATGGCTGTAACGAGGGGAATGCTCTAGTAGAGAGAGAGAGACTGTTGCTCGAGATCGCGGTAACAAATCCACAATATCCTTGAGAAGAGGGACGCAGAGCACACGACATACCCGAGCTTCCTTCTCGGCCAAGAGCTACTTGAGCCAAGGCCGTGTTTTTTATTCCTGTTAAATCCCTAGTCCTTGACACATAGTAGATACTCACTGAGGTTTCTCATGCTTCCCGTGTGTCGAGTGCATCGTTGGGCAATGTGATGTGGGAGCCTGTGGAAGTTGCCAGACGTGGTCCGGCCTCCTGACTGTGGGTGCGTGGGCCCAGGTGACATGAAGCCGATGAGTGGGTGACTGGGCGTAAGGAGGAGGCAGACGTGTGCGGGCTGGCAGTGCGGAGCTCCACCTGGGAAGCAGGGAGAGGATTTGGAGGGGAGAGGGCAGGGAAGGCAGAGGCCGTCCAGATGAAGCCACCGACGTGCAAGAAGGCACAGATTATAATGTAGAACTTGACTCGGCAGAGAATTTAAATAATGTAATCGTACTTGACTTTTTTATTTTGCTTTCCTACCCACCATGCACTGTTAACTCATCAAAATAAACCTGTAATATTTTGTGACTTGCATGTTCTGTCTTTCCTCTTGAAGTTCCATAGATTGTATTATGTGAGTTTAGCCGGGGAAATGGGTAATTACGTTAGTGCTGGTTACCGACCAGGGAGGGTGGAGAGATGGGTGATCGTATCCTTTCTTCTCCACCCCTTGTGTTGCCTCGAGTTAAAGCGGTCAGCGAGGGAACGATTTCCTCGACGTAAATAATGGAGAACGTGCAAAATAAAATACGTCCCCAGGCATGTCACACATGCCACTCCTAATAAGTTGAAGAATAGGAAACTATATTTGATATAACGCCGTATGTTAACTAACGAATTAAAATGAAGATGTAAAAAAAGAAACCATGTTTGGAATCCTCAGTCTGGTTTGAGTCATCTGTCTTATCAGATATGTTACCTGAGCCTGTGGTGGGGCCCTCGGGCACCCTGCTCTCATCTCCTCCCTTGCTCAGGGCTGGTGGGGATGGTGGATAGGGAAGTGTCTGATGAGCAGGTATCAGGAACCAGGAGAATCTGGGGGACAAACACGGCCGGCGCGGGCCTCTGTTCAGATAATCAGTTCTTGGATAGTCCAAGTTTGACTACGTAGAAATGAAACTATATCTGCAAAGATCTGAATTTCCGGTTTTACCCAAATATAATTTTGAAAATGA